GAATTCTATTATTAAAGTGGCGACAGTAAATATTCAATAATTATACACAAACGAATTCCAACGATGAAAAAAAATCATCTGTCACTTACATATATTACTTTAATGGCTTCAAGATATTAATTCCGCTCCGTAAGAAATAATGTAAAATGGTTATTAATCCCTTAAAGTTGAGATAAAAATGGCGATCAATGTGTCAAAGGGGAAAAACATACAGTTTCTTTATCAGCGAGACAAAAATAAAACTAAGCACAGGCTTACGAAACATTTTTCAGCGTCAACAAAGCTGATATTAATAAGATTTTACTATAATGTGCACGTAATCTGCCAGTGGAATTACTTAGATATTGATAAAATATACAGATGTGCTAAAAGTGATAGTTTAGCAGTATATAAATGTAATGGTAGATAACTTGAAGTCATGAAAATACCCAACAAGACTTAATGCTGTTACGATCCTATATTTTGATGTAATGGAATAACCTGTTACCACCATTAGTGACTCCACTATAGGTAGTAACTATCTATAAGTATCTGTAAGTCAATAGGCTGTAGAGGTTAGCTGGGATCTGTTGAGTACGACTCAGACTTACGCGAGAACTACCAATCTTCCAATAGTAGCACTCACTACTGGATTCACTTGCGACGACCTTGTGCATGAATGTTACCTTTATTCATATTTACTGGTTTTTACAATAAACCTTTACTTACTTTTTCCACCTTGTTTTTCAAGTACATATTTCTAGTAGCACGGAATATAACAGCTTTTTTTCTCAGCCAATGACCCATATTGTTTGCCACACGTCCTACATGCATAGGTCGCATTTGTATCAGTGGCAGCATCTAGCACTTGATCTGAAACAGTTCCAGAGCATTACCTTTTGTATTAATATCATTCTTAGTCATCAATGAAGTTGATTGCCTCCTTAAGCAACGTAAGTTCTTAAAATATCGAGCAAGGCTTGTGAATGGATTTTTTTTTCTTGTGGTGAAAGTTGTTGCACTGGGTTAGATCCATTCTCCGAGTGTCAAAAGCAATAAACCGAAAAGAAGAGCAAGTCTACATCATCGGTTGCAAGGAAGTCTCAAGTTTTACATCAGAGCACTCTCTTGTAATTGACTATAACTAAGTGGTTCAAACTCCCCAGTCGAATGTGTAAAAGATGGCCGTTAACGCCGAAAGAATTTGACAGGACCATTTTAAAAAATTCTTGTGAGTTTCTACCCACTCACCGGTTCTTCCATCAACCAAACTGGAACAGGTTAGTGAAAGAACCGGTTCAGTCGAAGATAACCCAACTAGAACGCTGGTACTACTGATATAATATATAATGCATACATACATGATGACTGTAAACTCGTCAATGAGTAAGACCATCGCTGACAAGTTTGACGTCTTCCTCGTTTCCATGCGGCCATTATCATCATGATACTGCACGAGGACGCTCTTCCTAAGACGCGATAACACCTAACTATTGGTTCGTCGTCTGGTTGAGATAAATAATACACAACTTCGTCCAACAGAAATTATTTTTTGTTCTCTAACTAGCTTTACCCTACTCTCGACCTCTAAAATATCTCCTGTCTCCTACTCCCTAATTATGCCTATGTCCGGTAATGTGGGGAGTGGTATAAATCTTCTCTGTAAGTAGCAAAGTGTCGCGGATCGGAGTTATTCGAATTAATAGCGCTAACCTCATAAACGTCGACTTGCTTTATAACATTTTCTATAGGCGCATCTATCGAGCGTGAAAGTAAGCGTGCGCACACGTCATCCCTACGTTGTAAGTACTCGATTGTACAGTTGTAGCCTGCTATACTCAAAGCCCACAACTGGATTTTTTGTTCTGAATGGGGGAATTCAAAATATACTGCAGAGGCTTATAGTCCGTATATATAATGAATTTCGCACTATGTAATTGGTTGTGGATTTTTTGCAAGGTGTAGTGGATGACATAAGCTTCTTTTTTAATAACTGACCATATCTTTGTGTATCACCCAGTTTGTGAGATAGGAAGTATACAGGCTTTTCCATTTTTCTTTTCTATTAAGATCGCTAAGTCCAATGCATTCGTATAAAGTTTATATTCTTTATTCGGATGTGGGTACGCTAGCGTAACCAATTCAGACAATATATCTTTCAAGCGATCGTACCTAAAAAGAGCATTAGAGTTAATCTAATTAATTAATTAATTCCTAGTTAATCTAATTAACGGTTCTGCTAAGCTAGATAATCCTGGAATAATGTTAGTATTTTACCCGTTTAAGTTTAGTTCGAAGGATAACTTTTACCGCTGTAGAAACGTGACATAGCGTGAGAACAAAGAAAGAAGCCAAACCATAGAGATTCAAATGCTTTTATGAATGTATCTGATATGTCCTGGAAAGGGATATATTTGTTCGAATTAGCAAAATGCTTTTGGGCTACTGTAACCAGGTAGGACAATCTAGCAGGTAACTGTAATGGACTGGTCCTCGTCGTAGTGGTAGGCAATAGGCGTAGACAATAGGCGCCGCCCATGTACCTCAACATCAGTCTGTATTTATGGCTGACACCAGCCAATCATATTACTGTGAAGGGGAACCAAGGTTTATGCGTATTCATGACATCAGTATCATAGAAGAATAAAAATAAAAGAGAAAAGTTTTAAAAAAGTGGTGTTGCAAAAAAAAAAAAATGATATTTCGCGGACTTATCTTGTCACGGAAAAGAAACCTGTTAACAGTTCTTTGAAATCTTGTGATTTCTTGTTGTGGTGGTGGTGGTTGCGGCGATGTCCTGGAGCCCTGTCTTCCTAAGGATAGAGAAGATATTTCTTCACGTGCAGTAGGCGGTCAGTCCCGGCGGATCCTGAAGATCTGTTGGTGAAGTATTCCCAAGAGCAATCTTTTGTATGTGCTACTCGTTGAAAGACAACATAGGAGAGAGGAAGAAAAAGTAAAAAAAAAAATGGCGCGGGGATCGAGACAAAGCAACCTCAGTAAGTGTTCTTCTGATTGGTTCCTTTTCAGGCAGTCACAGGGATCATTGCAACAATATTAAGGGGCCCGTTCAAATAGGGGGTCTTCGAAAGACGTGTAATAATTTCAGTAATAAATCTTTCGTGGTAAGAACACATATTGATGAACCCCGCAACCTGTATGATAGTGGTAGGAATGGCTACGGGTCGTATATTTTTACTTTATCAGTATCTGGTTGAATTCCTGGTTTAGTGATTTTATATCTTAAGTAGCGTCCTGGGTATGACAATAAACTACATCCGCGTTCTGGGTATGACGATAAACTACATCCGTGTCTTGGGTATGACGATAAACTACGTCCAGCAGCAAGGCCTCTGATCAGCAAGTTTTGAGGAGCGTGGAACCACCTCTTAATATTTGGTGTTCCCAGGTCCACCCTGACTCGGGGTGGTAGCACCTGTTAGGATCCCGGCTATGGGCAAATATTTAACCCCGAAACTGGGGTCAAAGCACTGTGAAAGTGTAAAATAGGTTTTAATACCAGAAATACTTTTTTGTAAAAAATTATTACCAGCAATAAATTTTTGAGGGAAAAAAATTATTGCCAGCAATACATTATTACCAGCAATAAATTTTTGAAAAAATATTACTAGCAATGAATTTTTGAAAAAAAAAAAATGATGACAGCAATACATTTTTTAAAAAATATTACCAGCAATGAATTTTTAAAAAAATATTACCAGCAATACATTTTTGGAAAACAAATATTACCAGCATTGAATTTTTGAAAAAAATATTATCAGGAATATATTTCTGGAAAAACAATATTACTGCAATAAAAATTTTGTCGGCATTAAATAATTAAATAATTCTGCGTTGTATAACTTCCAAAAAGAAGTACCTTTGAACTCCTTAGCAGGGGTCGGCAACCTTTTGCTAACAATGTGCCGACTTAGGGTTTTAAAATCATTCAGTGTGCCAACAGCATAAATATTTTTATACAAGTCAAGGTCAATGTACCTGTTTTACAATATATTTTATATAGTAATATATAGTATATAGACTTTAGTATATATTGAAATTGAAACAGCTAAATATCTTCTTTGAATTGTAGTAGTTATTGGTTTGGACTTCGTGATGGCATTTGTGGCTGCGTGCCATTGAGGTTGATACGCCGTAAAATAAACCAAAATAAACGAAACCAAATCCTAAGTACTGGGTCTCTGAATTAAGGTATTCACATTTCGACGGTTTTAACTTCAGTCACTCTGGCCAAGCCCTGCCCATTCTGGCCCTCGCTTTCGTATTCTGTAACAAATTTGCATCATTTTATATTTATGGTACGTGCGAATTAAACACATTTCTTTTAACTTTTACAGATTTCACACACGTTTACTGCGAAATGCTTGGCAGTTTTTTAATATCAATAAATTCAATTTCAATAAATTCCATTTTTATTTTCGAATTACGTATTTTCCTTCCGTCTTTTGTCATTTCCTTTTGCGATCAATTGTCGTGTATGTATTTCTTATGGATTTTGAAGAAACATTTTTTTATTTATTATAAACGAATTTATTTGTTGTCGTCTGTTCCTCTTTACTTTCCCGTTCTGTCTGCCACAAAATATATTTGCATTTATGTACCAATATTCGTTGTCCTCTTCATTATTTTCTTATAATGCCCAGACATTTTCACGCAAAGTTTGTCTTCAAATTCCTTAAGTTTTCACAGTCACTTTATTGAAATTTATAAACGCAAAATATTTTCCTTTTCTTTTTCTCCAGAAATTACATTCTGTTCCTCCGTTTTGTTTGTAAAGTCTTTTCTGATTTTTGCTAAGATCTTTGCACGTGACTTTCGTCGACATTTATTCCATCGGGAAGCTGTAACATTTGTTTTAATTTCGATTTGTTTTGTCCAATAAATGAAAGAAAGAACCATTTGGATATTATAAAGAAACCATTTTATTTTTATTTTATTCCACTCATTCATATCCATTAAGTCTATCGCATTTATTTCTTTAATTTTGTCCCATTTTCGAGATTTTATTTTCCATGCAAAAAATGCGACAAAATTTCACTTCCTACTTTCTTTTAATGATCTTTCTTTCTTTCTTTCTTTCTTTCTTTCTTTCTTTCTTTCTTTCTTTCTGATACACCCTATCTACTTTCTTTCTTTCTTTTTTCTTTCTTTCTTTCTTTCTTTCTTTTTGATACACCTTATCTACTTTCTTTCTTTCTTTCTTTCTTTTTGATACACCTTATCTACTTTCTTTCTTTCTTTCTTTCTTTCATCTTTCTTTCTTTCTTTGATGCATTCTTCTGCATTAATTCTTCTCTTCGTTTTCCTTTTTTTCTTTCCCACTCTTTCCTTTCTCTGTTTGAATACAATTTCTTCACTTATTTTTAATCATTTCACCCCAAGCGAGGCGGGAATGCCACTAACACGCATTTTACAGAGAGTGAAAGTGAGAGAAAAGACTGGGCATGGTGGGGGGGATTGAGATAAGGACAAAAGATGAACCGGCTTCAAGAAAACAGAAGATGCCGATTGACGTTGCATTTAAATTTTTGAAGATTTTAGTTACCAGGGAAGCAAGTTCCACAGGCAGGAAAAGAAATCTTTAGAGTAGAAGTGGCGGTTATATTTAACTATTTCAGCAGTAAAAGGGTGGGACCTAGATGCCAACCTAGTAGTGAGCTTAAATCCACGTAGTCGGGGTTATGGTGAAAAAGATCGTCAGAGCAGTTGCTATGAAAATATTCGTAGAAAAGACACGTAATGTTGTTGAGAAAGTGAATAGAGACGAGGTGCCAAGTTAGGATCGAGTACATTGCAGATATTTCTTTGGATTTTGTTAAGAATCTCGAGGTGATTAGCAGGAGCACAGGACCAGATATGGTTTGAAATTGATTTAATCAGATTTGATATTTCATATCTAATTATTCATTGACAATTGATCAATTTAAAAAAAAAATCATAAATAAGAGGGCATTACCCTTAAGCCAGAAATACAGAAGGCGCGTGATGTTACAAAAGTTGGGATATTCTTAGTCAATTCAAAATTGAAAGAACAAACATTCAAATAAAAATCGTGTAGTCAAGCCGACTCATCAGAAAAGCATTTATGCGCAAATATAAAAGAAAATACAACATTTTAAGCAACAGAATAATGCACCGTGTCATCAAGATTAAGTTACCCAGGATTGGTGTGATTAAACCTCTGACGACTGATATCGCTAGAGCTCTCGTTCAACGTAAATCTTGTATTTACGGGGCGTAGTAATTTGGTGCACTCACATGCATGTTTCCTCGTCTATAAATATTAGAAAGCTGTAGAGAGACATCAAGACAACATGGCTCAACATATTTCCAATGTTATTCACACAACTTCAGGAACCAGTACCATATTTACAATTTCGTATTATCACGCCTAAGGAGGATTGGTGTGATTAAGCTACTGACAAATTATATGGCTAGAACTTTCGTTCAACGCTAACCAATCGTGTTAGCCAATTATGGGGTGTAGTAATGTGTCAATAAATTTTAGAAAGCTCTAGAGAGACATATAGACGACATGGCTCAACATATTTCCAATATTATTCAAACTTAAGGAATCAGTTCTATATTTACAATTTTCGTGAATAAATTCTCTAAGGAAATAAATTCGTTACTAAACCTTGAGAAAAGCATGTCTAAAACCTATAAACTGATTTTTATAGTGAAGTTGAATACATAATCTCATGTCATTTTAAGTTACGAATTTATGAAGGTATTTTGAGAGTGCTTCAACTAAATGTTTTTCATATTTTCAATGTAGTTAGATATCTTAGAAGAGACAACAGCAGATCTTATAAATTCGTTGCCTGTATAAAAAATTTTCTTTTTTTTAAATCTGTCGTTTTGATATAAAGGTTTCTATTTACTTTTGAGATAGCTTTGCCATAATCGGTACAGCGATGTGATGACTAATTCTTCACCCTCGACGATTAATATTAAATATAAAGTATTAATATTAAGTACAAAATACAAGAAAATAATCTTGTATCAATTGTCAAAGCCTGAATGAAACGTGAATTATTACTCGACATCGAACGTATTCAATATATCAGTCGGAAATGATACAAAGTTTTTGCAAACATTTTCTGTAAGAAATTGATAACCAAAATTCTTAATTCTGTTCTTTTGTCTTATTTAACAACCAATTCTGCTCAGTGAACATTTTTTTATATTTTCGACCAAAAACAGGTTCCATTTGAAAGAAATTGCATTCAATATTATCCAACATCGATTGTAACAATTATCAATTTCATATTGCATGATCTTATGATAATATCTTGATAGTTTCTGGGGTTTCATTCTCTCTTATATTTACTTGGTCAAAGTAACCATGCCTATATTGGATGTTATAAGTGTGTGACGCTCGTAGTTCTGGTTAATAATACCGTAAGGAAAGATTGGAATAAAAGGTTGAGTGAAGAAGAGGTTTAATCACACGAGAGACACGGATTAATAATACAGTAATAAAGAATAAAGAATACCGTAGTTCAGTGCGACAACGCGTACGATTCAAGCGCTACGCTATGCGACCCTCTTTTTATTTCTGTAAAAAAGCACACAAAATATGGCACAAGGCCTAAAAAGCGCTCAAGGACGGTAATTATATGACTTACTTTTAAAACTCAGCTAGCCACAACCGCTGACCCAAACGTACAAACAATATTCCCAGCACCAAAACAATCTTACTTACCAATCTCACGACAACCACCAAAATACCTCATTGTCTCAATGAAAATCTTGATTTGTCCCCATATGTACAAATCGTCGTCTGGGAATTTTATCCTCCCCCCGCCAATGTGTATGTACAATATGAATATAAACTATATCCAAGAAACTAAACAAAATCAAGTTAGTAATACCCCCCCGCAACAAACCTTAAATGTGGCGGAAATATAAGTTAACTGGAAGAAATAGATGCAGGACTATAATAATATAGAAATATTCATCCATCCCAAGCTCTCACAGAGACACGCACTCATTCTGACACCACAACAAATACGAAAAACATACACGCGAAACGAAAGGCGGCCCGCATCCACCAGAGAATAGACATCACTGACCACCTAACGAGGGAGGGGATGGGGGAGCTAAACTAAAGGAAAATAGGGACAGAAATAAAAGGGGCCAATGAGCAAACACGCTCTAGTTAAGTTTACTGGAAAAAAAGGAAAAACTAAAGAATCATAAAAACAAAACCTGCACTAGCCTAATTTCAGGAATGGGTTGCTCAAGTTCGACCCAGGAAAATAATATTCTGATGGCTGACCAGCATCAAAATGCCACTCTAGGTCAGCCCCTTTTATTCGGCACAATCGCGCAATATTCACTCACCTTTTGCCAAATTCTAATGAGGTGAGCCGCCGCTTTTACGTCCTAATCTTGATTTTAAACTGATGCTTAAAGAACAAGATGAGTTTGGAAGAAGTGAACTTCTCGCCATCATAGAATTCCTTCTGACGTGCCGTCCAAATCACGGCTCTCATAACACCTAGTAACCAACAGAACACATATTGTTCAGCCTTCGTCATCTGCGGCATCACATTGCTACAAACAGAACTTTCCTTGCAGCATGCGTACCATGAGGCCTTCAACAAACTTGCGCAACGGCACTATCACCCTGCAATGAAAGAAGGTGTGACAAGAAAGAGGGCCCCATTAATCAGGGGAGTTTTGAACGATAGCAATTGGCGGGGACATTTTAAACGAAGCTATTGTTTCAACCAGCATGGTCCAAGCCTGCTTAGCTCCGTCCCAGTTCTTATTACAGTTAAGACTCTTTCAGCATTGTGAAAGATTTGGGGCTTCTCAATGTCTTTGTCAGCAACTTGTTTGATTGATAAAAGGTATTTCAAGCCTTTTATCCTGTTCCCGTAGTTTCGGGCTTTTTCCGCTTCAGCAGGTAATATTCTACATCTTCACCTGGATAAGATGTGTTTTTGCCTTTTCCTATTTCCGGTTAAGTTCTGTGTAGGACTTCAAGGTCTTTTGTTTTGGGGAGGGGGCATTTCAGGAGTTTTAATGGGAGAAGGACTGGGGGTGTGGCGAGGAGTATACATTTGCCTGAAAGGGCTGTGGTCTCTACTGAGAGGGGTTGAGGGATGGGAAAAAGATGTGGATGGAGTGTCAGATAAGATCTTCTCTCTACTAAGAGGAGCTGTGGGATGAGAAAAATGTGATGGGTCAGAGGGTGTGGAGATAGTCGCCTTCTTTGTAGAGGAGGTAGAGGGCTGGGAAGACTGTGTTAAATGTCGGGCAGAGGATGTAGAGGGAGGTGATGATTTAATGGGGAGGAGTTTGTATTCCGTTGATGGTCTAATTTTGCTTTTAATTTTTTTCCGTCTTCTCATATCCTGAGTTGTATTTTCTTGGAAGTTCTTTTTAGGGTCGGTATTGAGGCCGCGGGGTCGCCCTTACTGTTGACAGAGGGAGTGGGACTGTTAGTGTCTTTTGTCAATGTCTTGGGAATGCCCACATTAAAAAGGCCTTGTGCCGCATGACGCCCTCGTGGGAAGGTGGCTAAATATCTTAGTGTCTTTTGTCAAAGGGGGCTTCAGGGGACTGAGGACCCGCGGTCTGGCGCTTCCATCTGGCCATGCCAGCAACCTGCCATACCCCCTCTCCCTCCTCCACAACTGCACTAGCAGCGGGAGAAAGCTCTTTGGGAAATGGGGACTTTGGTGTAGGCCCAAACGGAGGTTTATCCACTCCGGGCCCGGAAACTAGCATGATCATTACAGGCGAGGCGGATTTCAAAGACGCGGTCAGAGGTGGAGTTTGGTCAACTGGGGCCTGACTTCCAGAGGCCTCTTCTCTGAGTAGGAACAGGAGGGTTGACCAGTCTCTCCACATTTCCAACAAACTGGTTTATGGCCGGTAGCTTCAGGCCCCCAACATCCAGACAGTTGAGGATGTAGATGAAGGCTTTACGGTCCAACATGATGTCGAAACTCCATCCCCCAGTCAGGCTATCGCAGGAAGCACCTAGAATTTCTCCGTACTGAGACAAGAAAGCCGCCAGGTGTTCCGATAACCTGAGGGGGCATCTCGTATATTGCTAGATGGTCCTTCTCTTGCCCTCGTACTCTGTTCAGTATCAGATCTTTTGTTATCAATTCACGTCTTGTCTCTTTTACGCAATCTTCAGCTGTGGCTAACAATACATCCCACAAGAAAAGGCCATTTCCCTTAACAAAT